CATGTTTATATTCAAATTAATCAGTATGTTACAAGAATCCCATCTATGTTAATTATATTCACCCAGGTCATTTCACTGGCTTTTTATAAGAGAGAAGCTTAGTCACCTAAGAACTGATCAATATACACGTGTTGGACCTGGGCCTGTGCCAACTGTCAAACGTACTACCTCCCTTCCCCCCACACCCCCTCGCTCGCTCTCTCTCCTCTATCTGCTGGCATTGCTGGAATCCTTGTAAAACAGTGAATAATTTTAATATAAATGTCATGTATTTTGCACAAGAGATAAAACTTAATCACCTGTATCACATTACAGTAATGATTTAAGAGTAAAAGTGTACATGTACGTATATAGTATTCCACATACACGTAAGTATAAATAAAAAGTTAATGTGATGATCGGACAACGTCCAATTCGGTTAACGTCACGTTTCCAAGAACATATCTAGGACATTAACCGGCGCATGACTGTGTGTGTGTGTGTGTGTGTGTGTGTGTGTGTGTGTGTGTGTGTGTGTGTGTGTGTGTGTGTGTGTGTATATATATATATATATATATATATATATATATATATATATATATATATATATATATATATATATATATATATGTTATATGTATGTATATATATATATGTATATATATATATATATATATATATATATATATATATATATATATATATATATATATATATATATATATATATATATATATATATACATATATATATATGTATATATGTATGTATATACATATATATATATATATATAATATATATATATATATATATATATATATATATATATATATATATATATATATATATATATATATATATATATATATATATATATATATATATATATATATATATATACATATATATATACATGTATATATATATATATATATAATATATATATATATATATATATATATATATATATATATATATATATATATATATATATATATATATATATATATATATATATATATATATATATATATATATATATACATATATATATTAGGGTGGTCCAAAACTATATGGTAAAAAATATAAGTAGTAATATATTGCCTCCACAAGCCTTAAAATTGTCCATTTGGTTCATAGATAAGGTCTGTAAAATTTTATCCATATTCATTAACATTTAGAGGTCAATCCATTTTGCATATTATACTTGTAGTGTAGGACTGAATTTTCTTGTCCGCATGATACAGTCTTAATATACACAACACATTATATTGGGTATATTTCAATGTATATAGCCTAGTTGCCTATTATCAACACGGGAAGAAAACAATATCACACAACTGGCTTTGTTTGTGAGCATAATGTATGTGAGATTCTGGCATGAAGCACCAATGGCTGTTCGAGCTCCATTCAATGATTTGCAGCTAATGAAGGTTTTAAAGGAATATCCTCATGAGAAAGTTGCACACGCAGCACAAGCAGCAATTAGCCGACATCTCTGGTATCTATCAGAACATCTTATCGGTCTAAGCTTATTTGATGACAGGATCGATACTGAAACCAAGAAGAATATGGTACAAAACTTCCAGTGCCCAAAGAAACAGGACTTTTCAAGGCGTATTGTCCTATCTGATGAAACTCCTATCAGTAATGTGCCTCATTTGTTACTGAGCGTACATTAGATATTTTTGATGTTCTTACACTAGATGGCAAAGAAAGAGCACAACTGTTCTTGAGTAAGGATCCCAAAACATGGAAAGACGATGAAGTGTTTATCACAATGAGAGATCGTGCGATAAATATGAAGGTGGTGAATGACAGCGCAGAGAGGGCAATTGCTCTCATAGAGCGTTATAATGAGTCTATAACGCAAAATGAGGACCAAAAGCAGTACCTTTTAAAGGTTGTTGCAGCTCATCGCAAGAAGTTACCAACGGCAAGCAAAGCTGCTATGATGAAGGGATACAAATAAAGAATGTGTATTGGTGTTCTAGAGTTATTTAGTTTGTAATTTGTAAAACTTATAATTGTATTTTGCTGAATAAAGACAATGTGTTTATAATGTGTTTATCTAGCCCCGAAAAATCCTTATTACGTACTAAATGGAAAAAAAGAGGACATTGGATTGACCTCTAAATATGCTTTAAATGATCCAATTTTTTTTTGGGATGCATGTTGTACCTAATGGACAAAAATAAACCTTGTGGAGAAAACGTATACAAATATGTGATATTTTGGACCACCCTAATATATATATATACACACAGGTTGACTATCAAAAATCCGGCAACCTCAGGACCTGAGGAGTGCCGGATTTTCGAAAATGCCGGAAAACTGATGGTTATATTTGCTGTATAAGTTTAACAGAAAATGACTACCTGTACAGTCCTTTAAAAAAAGAAAATTAAACACTTAAGTTAGGATAATATAATTGACATTGCTGGATTCCTTGTAAGACCAGGAATATTTTGAATATAAATGTCATATATTTTGCACAAAAGAAAACATATTTTTTCAGAGTAAACATTATATCTAAAATTTGTATGTCTAATGCAAAATCTATGATGTTTATATTCAAAATGATCATCAAATTGTAAGAATTCCAACAATGTAAATTATATTCTGGCCGGGTAATTTGTATGAATTTTATGAGCTAAAACAAATATCTTCGGTAAATAATAAAAAAAAGTATTCTTCACACCGTGCCAGATGGTCGGATGGTCCCTCCCTCCCCCCCACCAACCCTCCCTACAAGATAAATGTGTGGGAAAACCAGACTATTTACCTTTTTAGTAATAAATAATACCTCAGACTGAAGTTAGGATAATATAATTGACATTGCTGGATTCCTTGTAAGACCAGGAATATTTTGAATATAAATGTCATATATTTTGCACAAAAGATAACATATTTACTCAAAGTAAACATTATATCTAAAATTTGTATGTCTAATGCAAAATCTATGATGATTATATTCAAAATGATCATCAAATTGTAAGAATTCCAGCAATGTAAATTATATTCTGGCCGGGTAATTTGTATGAATTTTATGAGCTAAAACATATATCTTCATTAAATAAACAAAGAAATATTTGAAAATGCGCTCCGAAATCTATGCCGGAAAACTGAAGGTTCCGGTTTATCGATTGCCGGATTTTTAATGGTCAACCTGTATATATATATATATATATATATATATATATATATATATAGTGAGTTCTGCTATAACGTGTGTTTTGACAATGCGAATTGGCTCTAATGCGATTTATGAATAGAGGAACGATATTTGCATAACGCGAACGCTTGTTTGCTGTAACGCTATTTTTGCATACTATTTCCCCAATTTTGTGGTATTAACTGTGAATATGGTAAAGAAGAAAATCTCCAAGAAGCGTTCTGGTGATCGCATTCCCGGTGATGATCGTAAAAGAAAGGCTATAACCCTTGAAGAGAAGCTCGATGTTATCAACCTCAAAATCATCCTTCTCCCCCATCAAGTTATATTCATATTTTTTCAAGGTAAAGTGTTACATTTACTGTATGATTTCATTATTAGATATGAATGTAACATTTATTTAGACTGTGCTATCCTTTGTGTTAGGCTAACTACTAAATTTTTTTTCGATTTCGAGTAGTAATCTGCACCTAACCCTATTTTCTCCGTAAGCCCTGTTATTTCTATTACGCGAATTTCTATAACACGATGTTTTACAAGAACACAACTATCGCGTTATAGCAGAACTGACTGTATAGTGATTTAAGGGTGATTTAGGGGAATTTTAAGAGTGTTTCTGACTTTATGCATTTTTGGCTTAACTTTGTATGTACTTTTCTGTGAGCTGGAACCAATTACCCAATATCCCAGTGAAATAATGGATGCGGTTAACGAACGACTCTGTGGAATGAATTGTGTTCGTTAACCAAGGGACCACTGTACTGTACTGTACAGTAGACCCATGCCATTCGTGAGTGATAGGTTCCAAGAAATGGCGCGAATTGGCAAAACCACAAATAGCAACTTATACTACAGTAAAAGTCCAAAAGTCCGGATGCCAGAAATCCGGACCACCCGAGAATCCGGACCTTTAAAAAAACTCAAACTTTTTTTTTTTAGCTGGCTTTTGTGTGTATGTGCGTATGCGTGAGCGCCACAGCTGCACAGTGACAACAAGTGACCACGCGGTCGCCATTTTAAAACGAGCAATCAAACTGTGACAACGTATGTAATTTTGAGTCCTACTCATGCCATTTACAGAGTACTGTACAGGCCCATAATAATGGCTCCTAAAGTAGATAAACTTCGTTGTGTGAAGAGAAAGAAGAGCACGTTGAAATTGAGTGACAAATTTGAAATAATTAAGAAACTAGAACGTGGTGTGAGCAATACTGTTCTAATGGAAACATACGACATTGGAAAGTCTACAATTTATGATATAAAAAAGGCAAAGAATAAAATTCTAGAATTCACAGCGTTTTTCTTTAAAACTGCTCGTTTTGATAAATGAAGCATGCTATATTTGATAATGAATAAACTATCAAAATGTACCTGTTCATCTCTTCTTTAATCCTCCTTAAATTTAAATTTTAGAAGTACTGCCTGAGAATCAGGAAAATCCGGACCGACCCAATCCCCAAGCAGTCCGGAATTTTGGACTTTTACTGTACTTTAGTGCACTACTGTTTACCTATACCAATCAACTTACCAGCAGCACTCATCCCCTCTTTTAAATTAACTATTTGTCAGGGTCATCACTGACTTCTGCCTTTTACATTTCACTCCACTAGCACTGACACTAGGCAGTCTCTTAGGGGCCATTTCACACAGAAACACTAAAGTTTTGAGAGTACAACACGAGATGCTGTGTGGGGTGACTCGTTGTGCTGCGGGAAAAGGCTTGCAAGCTAGCCACCATCTGCTTACTGCGAATCATCAAAATCGCGAATGGCAAGGGCCTACTGAACAATATTTGTGTTACAATTAACTTCTGGAAAACCTTCCTTAGTATACAATGCAACTCACTTTTATCCACTACCAGGAAGTTCGGTTCTCTTTTCTTATTCACCTCTCCGATGCCACCTAACAAAAAGCCAACACACGTGTCCTGCAATGGAAGAAGAACAATTTATAAATTGGAGAAATCTACAGTACAGTATATCTTGTGTGTTGAAGTACAGGAACAGTAGTAGTTCTACAGGGAGGAAGAAAGGAGGGAACATTAATAATTGTAGCAGTAGTAATAAAAGAAATATCCAAATAGTAGAAGGGAAAGGAAATTTCTGTTTTTCTTGTTTAGATTTGCTTGACTGACTAGTAAGCTGACCAATAGGGAAGAGGACAAGTAAGTGCTGTAAATCCGAAACTAGAGTCTCTCCTCGACTTATGACGGGGTTTCGTCCCGACGACCAGGTCGTAAGTCGAAAAAGCAAAAAATACCAAAAATAGTACATAGAAAATTCCAAAATGAAATAGAGTACAGTATTACCCCGCTTAACGCGGTTTCGCTTAGCGCGTTTTACGGTATACGCGGTGCCTTGCCAGAGCCGAACTTTCACTTGACGCGGGTTTTTTCCACGTACAGTCAACCCTCACTTTACGCGGTCCCACATTCCGCGTTTCCACGTTTACGCGGTGCCCTGCCAGAACCCAGGATGCTCACATTCCGCGGTGGGTGTACCCCTTTACACGGTGAAGTATAATTTTTTTTAATTTAGCTCATAAAATTCATACAAATTATCCGGCCAGAATATAATTTACATTGCTGGAATTCTTACAATTTGATGATCATTTTGAATATAAACATCATAGATTTTGCATTAGACATACAAATTTTAGATATAATGTTTACTCTTGAGTAAATATGTTATCTTTTGTGCAAAATATATGATATTTATATTCAAAATATTCCTGGTCTTACAAGGAATCCAGCAATGTCAATTATATTATCCTAACTTTAATCTGATTTATTATTTATTACTAAAAAGGTAAACAGTCTGGTATTCCCACACATTTATCTAGTAGGGACGTTGGTGGGGGGTGGGGGGGAGGGAGGGAGGGACCGGCGACCGACCATCTGTTACCGTGTGAAGAATTTTTTTTTTTTATTAACTGAAGATTTTTATTTTAGCTCATAAAATTCATACAAATTACCCGGCCAGAATATAATTTACATTGCTGGAATTCTTACAATTTGGTGATCATTTTGAATATAAACATCATATATTTTGCATTAGACATAAAATTTTTAGATAAAATGTTTAATCTGAGTAAGTATGTTATCTTTTGTCCAAAATATATGACGTTTATATTCAAAATATTCCTGGTCTTACAAGGAATCCAGCAATGTCAATTATATTATCCTAACTTTAATCTGAGGTATTATTTAATACAAAATGTTAAAATCTAAATTTTTCACCCAACATCTCTTGAAGGGAGGATTGGTGGGGGGTGGGGGGAGGGTTGGGACTGACCGCGCGGTTGGAAGAGGGGGGGAGGCAAGGTGGGGTACTTTGATTGACAGATAGTGTCGTGAAGAATATTTTTTTTTTTTTATTAACTGAAGATATTTGTTTTAGCTCATAAAATTCATACAAATTACCCGGCCAGAATATAATTTACATTGCTGGAATTCTTACAATTTGGTGATCATTTTGAATATAAACATCATATATTTTGCATTAGACAAAATTTTTTTAGATAAAATGGTTAATCTGAGTAAGTATGTTATCTTTTGTGAAAAATATATGACATTTATATTCAAAATATTCCTGGTCTTACAAGGAATCCAGCAATGTCAATTATATTATCCTAACTTTAGTTTGAGGTATTATTTATTACTATACAGTTGTACCCCACTTAACGCGGTCAATTGAACCCAGAGGGTCCCGCATTAAGTGAACAACAGAACATATGGGATTAATTCCAATAGAACCCAGCCCGACCCCCAAACTCCACTTTTTGACGACACATAACTATGTTGTAGTAAAAATTCTATTTAACTTTATGATGGTATGAAAAAACAAGTAATATAGAAGAGGTTAGGTTAGGAAAGATAAAGGTTAACATAGGAAAAATAAAGAATAGGTTAAAAACGAAAAATCTTGTGGAACACTTACGGTAGTAGAAGAGATGGGTCGGCATACGGGGATGGAGGCTGGTTCCGAGGCAGAGGGCACATTACTGGCCCTCAGGTGAATCACCATTACTAGGCGAATCAACATCACTGTCACTTACAGTTGTCAGGGCTTCCCTGACAAATCCCTCAAAGTCAACTTCACTTTCACTATCACTGGCTTGGGCTGGCTGTGGTGGGTTGCGGGCGAAGAACTCGGTTATGCTTTGCTGACGGCTGGTGTTGATGTTGTCGTGATACACCTTGATGTACGGCTCCATAGCCTGCACCAGTCGGGTATGGAAGACTTCATAGCGTTCATCGTCATTGTCGCGGGAAAGGACGGACTTAATTTTTTCTGCAAACTCTATGGCACACTTAATATCACTATGACTTAAACTAGGTTCTTCGGAGAATGACGCACCTTCTTCCTCCTCTTCACTGGCGTGTTCTTCTTCCAACATCTCGTCGGCAGTCACTTCAGGATCTTTGATCACCTCCAGGATGTCTTCGTTGGTGGTCTCGGAGAAGCCTTCAGCTGTAATATTGAGCGCAGCTTCTCTGGCAAGGTCCACTGCTACTGCAACAGTCTGAACCTCACCAGTCACAGGTTCACTCCTCCTCTCACCTGGTATGCCATGCAACACATGTCTCCATGCGTGACGAATCGTAGCAATAGTCAGCAGATCCCATGCCTCCACCAAGAAGTCTACAGCTTGTTTAACGTTAAACTTCTTCCAAAATTGTTTGACGAGAAGTTCTTGAGTCACCGCCTCTTGTTCCTTGTCCTCGTCGCTTTTGCTCTCGCTGTCGGTGTCACCCAGCTTACGCAACTCATCCTTGGTGTTGGTAGAGTCGTTCAGGAGCTTGAACTTCTTTGCAGAGTACGCAGCTTTCACATTGCAGATCAACTCCTGGTCCATGGGCTGGATTAATGACGTAGTGTTGGGAGGAAGGAAGACCACTTTTACGTTGGGGTGACGATCCATAAGTAGGGGCGAGTGTCCAGGTGCGTTGTCAAGGAGCAACAAAATATTGAATGGAACATTCTGTTGCTCGCAGAATTTCTTCACGTCGGGAACAAAACAGTTGTCAAACCAGAAGAGGGACAGAGAAGAGGACATCCACGCCTTACGTGCGGTTAGCCAGTGGACATTAAGCTTGTTCATGTCCATATTCTTGTAGGCGTGCGGCTTGCGGGCTGTGTGAATCACCGATAACTTTGGTTTACAGGTACCGGAGGCATTGGTGGTAAACAGGACGGTGATGCGTTCCTTCTGCAACTTCCGACCCCTTACCTTGCTGGCAGACTGGACAACGAAGGTCTTGGAAGGTAACTTTTTCCAGAAAAGACCAGATTCGTCCATGTTAAACACCTGGTCGTCACTGTACTGTCCTTCCTCCATAATCTCACGTAAAAACGGAGGAAAATCTCTAGCCGCCACACGGTCAGCACTCGCTTCCTCACCACCAATGTTGATGTTGGTGATCTTGTTCCTCTTCTTAAACCTATGCAGCCAACCAGAGGAAGCATTGAAGGGTTTGGGCTCTGCAATTCCCAGTTTACGTGTCACTGCTGCGTATAGCTCACGTGCGTACTCCTGCACTGAGCGCGTGTCCACCGCCATGTTGCGTCGCGCCTGACGCACCAAATAACTCACCAGCAAATTTTCCACTTTTGCCAGCACCCTGTTCTGGCAATACCTGATAGATGAAGCACCTGCAGACTTTGTGATTTTCATGTGCTCTTTGATCTTGGCTGCATCCTTCTTGATCGTACGAATCGTAGATTCGTTGACGCCATGCTGGCGCGCGAGATCAACTTGCCGTCTTCCTTTCTCCAAATCTTGAACAATTTGGTACTTCACCTCGTAGCTTAATGAACGTCGTGTCTTCTTTGGCTTAGTGCCGCTGGGTCCAGGTAAGGAAAGGTCTCTCTCTGGGGGCGGTGGTGGTCCGGCGGAAGCCATTTTACGGAACAATGGATGCGCGTTAACCCGGGGTGGCCTTGAGGGATGAAACTGCCGCGGCTAGGTCAAGCGTCGTCTCTCCTCCCTCCCTCCCTCCCCGGGGTGGTCACGTCATAATACTTTAAGCCAATTACAGCTAGCAGCAGAGGGGGGTAGGGATGCATGGCCAATCACAGTCCGATACGTCATATGACGTCAGTGATAACGCAACAAAGACACACACTGCGCAACCTTACCGCGCGGCTTGCCCAAGCGGAAGGAGGAGGAGGGAGAGGCGAGGAGCACAGGCAGGCAGGCGGGAGGGTGGCGCGTGGGCAAAATCTAAAAATAGCATCTCGAGCCGGACACTCACCGCGTATATGTGGAAAAAATCCGTGTTAAGTGAAAGTTCAGCTCTGGCAAGGCACCGCGTATATGCGAAAACGCGCTAAGTGAAACCGCGTTAGGCGGGGTAATACTGTACCTGGTTTTCCCCCCAAAATTTCTCAGAGAGGGAAGAGCCGGCAGTGTAGTGTGAGAGGGGGAGGGAGTCATGTCCATTATTTGAATGGACATTAACTTGGCACTGTATTTCTCTAAAGTATTAATTGTGTGCATGTACCATCATAAAATTAAGATGTTATTTTTACTACAACATAGTTATGTGTCATCAAAAAGTGGAGTTTGGGGATCGGCCTGGACTCCATTTCAATTAATCCCATATGTTATGTTATTCATTTTACGCGTTTCTCGCTTTCCGCGGTACCCTCCGGGTTACATTAACCGCGTAAAGTGAGGGTTAACTGTATACGCGGTGAGTGTCCGGATCGAGACGCTATTTTTAGATTCACCCCACCCGCCTGCTCCCGCCTCCTCCCTCCGCTTGGGCAAGCCGAGCGGTAAGGTTGCGCAGTGTGTGTCTTTGTTGCGTTATCACTGACGTCATATGACGTATCGGACTGTGATTGGCCATGCATCCCTACCCCCCTCTGCTGCTAGCTGTAATTGGCTTAAAGTATTATGACGTGACCACCCGGGGGAGGG